GCAGGTTTTTCTTTAGGAACAAAAGTTGCTCCGCTTTTTGGCCTCTTCTCATTAAGCACATGAGATGCTGCACTGAAGAGTCTCTCACTGTCTGTGCTGGTGCTTGGGGCAGATAAATACCTGCATGCAACCCGTGCAAGTAATGGAAAGCGCTCTTTGCTGGAGCGCCAGTAGTCGAGTGGATTGTCGCTTCTGGCAATGGGTCGTTCACCTAGATAAGTGTCCAGTTGTTGTAAGGCTGTGCTTGTTCCACCGCTGCGGATCGGGGCGCTTTTCTGTAGAATTTCGTCAAACATCTCGGAAAGTGAGGGAGTGTACGCCTCAGGGTGGGGCGGGGCATTTGCCTTTTCGGCGTGTTTTTTTATTTCGGCCCGAAATAAAAATGGCCTTTTTGGCCGAAAATTTTCGGTGGCCGAAATTTCGGTGCACCCCTAGTTAACACTATTTACATGCTTGAAAGAATAAATTAAATCAAATCAAAGAATAAAATTAAATCAAATGGGAAAATTCTTCTTCAGCACACTTTCTCATACATTTGAAATATTTAGCTTTATTTTGAAAAATTTCCCCCATTCAAATGAATGGGAAAATTCTACTTCAGCAAACTTTCAGCACTTAAAATGTTCAGCTCTTCAAGGATATTCATGCTTCTCTTCAGAAGTTTCCTAAACTTCATACTTTTGAAATATTTAGCTTAATTTTGAAAATCTTGCTCCATTCAAATGAATGGGAAAATTCAACTTCTGCAAACTTTCAGCTATTTCAGCTATTGAAATGTTCAGCTCTTCAAAGACATTCATACTAGTATTCAGAAGTTTTCTAAACTTCATACATTTGAAATATTTAGCTTTATTTTGAAAAATTTCCCCCATTCAAATGAATGGGAAAATTCTACTTCAGCAAACTTTCAGCACTTAAAATGTTCAGCTCTTCAAGGATATTCATGCTTCTCTTCAGAAGTTTCCTAAACTTCATACTTTTGAAATATTTAGCTTAATTTTGAAAATCTTGCTCCATTCAAATGAATGGGAAAATTCAACTTCTGCAAACTTTCAGCTATTTCAGCTATTGAAATGTTCAGCTCTTCAAGGACATTCATGCTAGTATTCAGAAGTTTTCTAAACTTCATACATTTTAAATATTTAGCTTTATTTTGAAAAATTTCCCCCATTCAAATGAATGGGGAAATTCTACTTCAGCAAACTTTCCGCACTTAAAATGTTCAGCTCTTCAAGGACATTCATACTTCTATTCAGAAATTTACTGAACTTCATGCTTTTAAAATATTTAGCTTTATTCTGAAAACCTTACCCCATTCATATGAATGGGGAAATTCCAACTTCAGCATACTTTCAGGTGTCAAAATGTGCATTTTCAGGGCGATTTTTCAGCACTCAGCATCCATATGCATTTTCTTCAGAAAATGCAATTTTCTAGTTACATATATTTCCATGAATTCTGTCACTATTAGTCCTCTTCCTTTTCTTGTGGACTATATGGCACATTAAGATTTTACTAACATGGATCCAGTCTGCTTAGCCTTGTGTTGTTTTAGCCAACCTTTGGTAAACCTGCACTATGAAAGGTTTGCATCATGCTATCACTGAATCCGTTCTGATTCTGGGGAAATGTAAACATGATTGTTACTAAACTAGAAGCTACACAAATGTTGGGACGTTCTCCAAAATACAACAAAAACTAAAATCTAGGATTTGTTCATTGACTCGCTGAAAAAAGCTGGACAGAGGTTTTTCTGGAGATGGGATTTCTAAGTTACAAGGATCATCTAATGTTCAACTATGGCACAAATAAACCTTTCTAGATGTGTGTGACCTGTTCTGATTTTACTGAATTATGACTGAGAACATGTTTTATTTTTTTTTATACGGTCAAGTTTAGAGGGTTAAATACATTTGTAATTTGTTGATGTCCAGCCATGAAGCCCCGGTGCTGTTACCCATATAAATTCCATATCTATGCCTTAATCCCCCACTGGGTGCTCATGTATTTAATATCACAAAGCGTGTTTTTGTCAAGCTCATCATCTCTCACAGAGCAAACAATCTAATGAATGGATATAAATAAAACCTACACTCACATACCCATCAGTGTACACACACACAGCCAAACACGCGTAAACTCCCACATACTCAGCTATTTCTGTCTAACATACACCTAAACAATGAGGAGCAGGGTATCAACTGTTCTCCAGATCGGGCATGGTGAGATTCCTGCGGATGAAGCACATCCTCAGGCCGATGACCTTTCTGTCTTTGGACGAGGAGGAGTTGCTGCGTTTGGGCGAGTCCTCGCTGCCACTGTAGCTGGGTGACTGTGGGCGGACGCCGTCCCACGGCAGATCGGACACCAGGGACGGCTTCTTGAAGAGTGGAGAAACCTCACGGATGTACTTCACTGTGAAGAAACAAAAGACAGGATCATTATCAGAGATGTAAAACAACCAGTCAAAAGAGCGATTCCCGTTCAGTTCAGTGGGAAAGTGTGTGTCAACTTTTGTCTCTTTGACATAGTCACACTTTTACAGTGTGCAATGTTAGAGGATTCTTACCTTAAATAAAAAAGAATCTCAGGGTGTTGAATATTTATTCGTTTTTGGCAAGTAGTGAAACGAAAGGCACTTAATATTGACAGGTAATATATATATATTTTGGTGTGGCTTACATTTTAGAGCTGCAATAACTTATTTTCACAGTATTCTTGCAGGAATAGGTCTTTCTAGATGTGTGTCCAGTTTGAAGAGACCAGAGCTTCACTGCATACATCAAAATAGAAACACACAAAACATCAATGTTTATGTTTTGCACTAACGCCATCAGATCACGGGGTGTTTGATCGATGCATCAATCCAGATCCATGGATCTTTACACCCCCACTGGATGCGATGAATTAGAAGATGAGACAGTGTTTTAAGTCTTTTCCAGTCTAACGGACCCCAACACATGATTAAAAAGATGTGAAGATGACACCACAACACTGCAAAGTCACATTCACAGCCTTCACTTCTCACTAGTGGTGACCTTGGTGTTTTTATTTTCCACTATCTTCCAACATGTCTTAAAACGACAGAATGGTCTGATGTGAAATGTTTTTAGAAAAAAGAGTGACTGTACGTACAGCTGTGAGCTTGTAAGGTCAGATGTTTGCAGAAGACTGGCTTTTGCTCCCATGTGACTTGGATTCACTTTCCTAATTTGGTCTCATGGTCTGGTATATCTCCCACCTCGCTGGCACGTGGCCTCACTCACTCGTATCTTCCCTTGTACATATGAAGTCTGTGAAGATATACAGTATGTGTGCACATGAAATCTAAAGAAATATAGCATAAAGTCCAAAGCAAAGTGGTTGTTTTTGGATCTAAAATGAACTCAGTAAGAAAAAGGGCATTGATTACTGAGGCACAGACGTACAGAGAGCTGCACAGTGCATATGTCCCTAGATGCTTGTGTGTACGTTATGCTGTGTATGACTCAGAGTGAAGGGTGGGCTGATTTCAATGCTCAGGCAATGTGCCAAAACATGGAGCCTCATCTTACTGGCCTTCCTAACCACAACAGCCATACCATCAAAGTCTGGAATCTTTTCTGCAAATATAAGTGGTTTGGAGTCAGTAAGTGAGAGCGAGAGCGTTTCTGAATCGCCATGTTTCTGTCTGTCAGCCAAATGGGAGAGGCTGTCTCTGTTACAAAGCCCTACTTCCAGAATAATAATCAGATTTGTTACAAAGATGTTCAGCTGATATATTTCCAGAGAGCCCCTGGGTCTATACTACATGTTTCTATCTTCAAATATGACATGAACAAATCACTGACTATAACGGTACTGTGGTTATTAGTGCTTAGGTCCTCGGTTAGCAGTTCTAAACGTATGGAAGCGCACAGCATTCACCAAAGGGTAAGAAAAAAAACTGCAGGATGTTATCTTGTAATTATAGATCCTGATCTTGTAATTACAAGATCAGGATCTCACACAGGGGATGGAATGCTGCAGAACTTGAAAGAAAATCAGTTGTCAGTACATCCAACAGTGCATAGCAAAAGTGAAGTATTAATAGTTAATTCAGCGTGCTTAGTGTTCCAAACATAAACAAATACAGGCTAGAAACGGACCTCGAAGTTGCTCCCTGCAGTGTACTACACTAGGCTACATGTACTGAGCACAACCTGCCTGAGTAACACTGGGTTTTTACGGTTTCCTCAGTATTAACGTAATTCTCTCAGTAGAATAGCACATAGCAGAAATGAACTGATGATAGTTAATTTGGCTTACTCTGCATTCCAAACTTAAACAAATATAGGCTAATAATGGGCCCAAGCTGCAGCCCACATCATCTCATATGTATGCCAACATTATAGCCTCACTTGCTGTAAGGTCCGTGCAGGATCTAGGATACTGGATCTGGACAGTTAAATCAGGCAGCCTATAACGTCTGTCTTCTTAAACAGCAACAGCCTATTACAAGATCCTGATCTCTGGATCTCGTAATTATGACAAAGCAGTAAACGTCAGTAGTCATCATGTGAACAGATACAAACTTGGACCAAAAACAGGAAGTAGGCTACAGGCCACGTAACGTTGCCATGGATACAGTGTGTTACAATGTGGCTGCTGTTTCTAGCCTGGGCTATGGGCCTACTTGCTTACATTTTGGAACACTAAGTTTGTCACTGTGCACATTAATGTTTTATAGAACAAGGCTTTAATATGCAGGACAGAAGAAGTGGATCTGGGAACAGTTCATTGGGAGTTTTACAACAACAATGTTCTTTGGAAAGGGAAAGTGAAAGCCCCGATTTATTGGCAGGTTATGCCATTATGGGTAAGCAATAACGAGATCATGTGACAGGTCTGCATATGTATACCACTGATAATACAAAAGCATTTCACCAAAGACAGAGAAAGTTGATGAAAATGGAGTAGCAACTTGAAAAAATAAATAAATACAACAACAACAACAAAAAAAAAATCAAATTCTCTGCCTCTGGTTCTGTGACTTTCATCTCTGTGTAATGTTCTTGTCAGATCCTTCACATTTTGCTGTTGGCTGACTTCACAACATTTCTGAAATCTTGCACCAGTAATGGTGCAAATGCTCTACTGTCTAACTTGTTGGCAGCATGAACCGCTGGGCTCCTGTTTCTATCAGTTTTTTCTTGTTTGGTCTAAATGCAGGGTTGGAAGCAGATGCCATCTTTGATGTAGCCACAAATCAAACCTACCGTCATGGCACGGGGTTAACAGCTGAGACGCGACAAACGCTGCGGCCAGCTTTATCTACTGTGCTGTTTCTATTGGTTGTTTCCTCACTGCTATTGTTGACAACATGGCTGAGACATGTGGACCCATGCATTAAATGAAGCCCTGGCATTTATGTATGAATTCTGTTTAGTATTCACTACTTCAGCTAATACATAACACTAAGGTTCGGCACCATTTTAAATTTATGATACTGGTGCAGGTTTGTTTTTTTAATCAAATAGTAGCAATACAACTCAACGATTAGAGAAAAAGTTCTCCATGGCCTTTTAAAGTAATTAAAAATTTTAAACCTGGAGAGCAGTGTTGAAACTGTGCCCGGTGTGACATCACAAACAATCAGGTACAAATAGGAATAACCCGCTCCCCGTGCGAGCACTACACCGAGAGTGTACGGAGCGTAACTAAAAAAACAAGACGGTTACCTTATTAGGAAACTTAAACATGATCCTACCTTTCTGAAACATCCAGCTAAAGTCTGAAGTCTGCCACAGATGGTTCTTCTCCTTTCAGGATCACACTCTGGTGCATATACCTTTATACAGGTGCATCTCAATAAATTAGAATATCGTGGAAAAGTCCATTTATTTCAGTAATTCAACTCAAATAGTGAAACTTGTGTATTATATAAATTCAGTACACACAGACTGAAGTAGTTTAAGCCGTTGGGTCTTTTAA